TCAGTTTAGAGCTAGGAACTAAAACACTACCTTTAAGACGTTCTCCTATACAGAACAGGGGACATAAAACATTGGCAAGTGGCCAAGTGTGATGGTGCACATCGCAATCCCAGCACTCAGGAGGCTGAGGCAGGAGGATCTTAGAGTATGAGACCAACCTGGGCTAAGTAGCCAGCCTGAACTACATAATAAGACCCTGTCTAAAAAAAAGAAAAAAAATTGAAATAAGAAAAGTAAATACTGGCAAACTTAAATAGCCCACTTCTTAACATAAACTAGTGTGACTCCCAGGACAGGATTTGAAACAAAAGGATTTAGAAAACATTTAACCCAGGCCCACTTTTAGATATTTTCTTGATTTTTCTCTACCACTGAACATATGTCTTACTTAAATTTGTATTTGTGAACTTAATTTTTAAAAACACTTTTAAATGGGGCCCATGCTTCCCTGTGGAAATAGGCGCATCCTGTTACCTCAGTATAATTTACCATTCAATCATGGTAGGGTGGCAAAACCACAGTAATTAAAGCAGGTGATGAAAGCAAGTCCATAAACTTGAAGTAAAATGATCTCTAATTTTTATGATACAAGAACTGGGGCAGAGAAAAGTTGTCATCATATTTTCAAAGGAAGGTATTTTAGAAAGTCCTATTTAAGGAGTATCTACAATCCACTTGAAAGCACTTCGGAACTCACACTGCAATGCTTGGGCTGCTGCCAAATGAACATCACTATAATTTATCCGCCAGGGCCAGAGCGCAGCGCAGGCCCACAGAAGACCATGTGTGTGTGTGTGTGTGTGTTTGTGTGTGTGTGCGCGCGCGCGATCGCACTCCTCCCTGAAGCTTGCTTTTTGCCAGGTTCTTATTTCGCTCTCTGATATCGGACCTTCTTTCTATGACTCTTCCTTTTCACATCTTTATCATTATCCCACATCCACACAAAGCTCAGCCTGCAGGTCAGCTTTTACTGTGTTCCTGTTATACTATTTACCACTGAAAATGTGCTGTTTTCAGGTTTAAATTAAACCTGAGCAGATTGGTGATCACCATAGTCCCAGCTACTCAGGAGACCAAGGCAGGAAGATCACTTGAGCCCCAGGATATCGTGCCAGCCTGAGCAACATGGTGTGACTCTGTCTTTATTTTTATTTATTTATTTATTTATTTGGCAGAACCAGGGATTGAACTCAGGCCCTTGCACTTACCAGGCAAGCACTTATTCTATTGAGCCATCTCCCCGGCCCTCACTGTGTCTTTAAAAAAAAAGCCTCTTTCCTTAGCTCATCTCTGTGACTAGCCCCTCAGTCTCACTGACATCTGGACCTCCTGCAGTTCTATCCCATAGCCGCAGTTGCCTACTGAGCATCTGCACCTTGCCGCTCCCTTTCAGCACCTGCCAGCGCTTCAGAGCACTGGACGTTCACATTTGCGAAACCAGAAGAATCTGTCTCTCTTCTGGCCTCCTTATTTCCTTGCTTGTGATGACACCTTTGATTGTTAATTTGCCCTTTGAAAGGTCCTCTTACTTTTTTGCTGTCTTGCTCTCTACAGGATATCATTCTTGAATGCCAGCCACAATGTTATGTAAGACCCTTACACTGTTATGTAAGACCCTTGACATTTTACTTCCATTTACCCCATGTCTTTTTCCTCCTCCCCTGCCAGCACACCCCACAGCATCTCACTTGCCATCCCAATATCCTGAGGGTTCCTCACTTACCATGGCCTCAGGGAGACTTGGGCTTCTCTCTGGCTACTCTGGGATCAAGTAAGTGTCATAGCCAAGTCTGGTTTTGACCACCCATTCAACCCCTTGTGCTCCTTAAGACCCTTCTGGAAGAGATAGCAGTGCTCCAGTCATGTAACAAGGAAGTCTACAGGTTTTTAAAAATCTTTTTATTCATTTATTTATTTGGTAGAGGGTCTCATTACACAGCTTGGACTCAGTGATTCTCCTGTTTCAGTCTCCCCAGCACTGGGATTATAGGCGTGCACCACCATGCCTGGTTTTGGTGGCTGGCATGGGGGGCCTGGCATTCTGGGACCAGCACAGCATGCAGTACCTGGGATCGAACCTGGGTCCTTTGCTCTTGTCAGGCATTTAGACTGCTGAGCTGTCTCTCCAGCCCCTACGGTTCTTAAGACAGCTCATTTCTTTACTAGACTAGTGGTGGAAGGTTCTGACTGGCAGATGTTCTCCTCTACCCTGTTTTGCAGCTACTTGAAGCCAAAGGAAAAAAATCTGAATCTTTTCTCATCCTTTGACTTTATAACTGATTGCAGCCTGCTGTCCTAAGCATCTCCAGCTCATAAGTACAGCGCTCTTTTCAGCGCTGACCTGTGCGTCTGACTGTGTCCCACAAAGTCATAAGATTCATGAGGAACTGCTTCCAGTTCTCCTTCTCCGAGCCTTCTCATTTCTCAGAGCATCAGTTTCCCATGAGCAAAAGGAAAAGGTTTCTTAATCCAGGATGGGCTCCAGGGCTATGTATGCAGTACTTGTGTGCCAGGAACATATATTCATTTGAGGGGAGAGGATATATGGGTTTTTTTAAAATCTTTTCAAAAGGGGTCTATGAATCACAAAGGCATAAAAACCACTGGACTACATGATCCCATCCATCTCTATCATGTGTAAGTCAGAGGAGCTAAGGCGCACAATGTTTTCTTTTTTCCCTTGAGAGGAAGTTAAAGATCAAATGCTACTATGCCTGCTATTCAGTGACAATGAAGAGATAGACCCTGACAGGCCCCAAATTACTGTGCAATAGTAATTGGAAAGGTTATAGCAAAACCTCTTCTGTCTCAT